AGCCATTGGAACTAAAATAACACTTTGTTCTTTATGAACTTTACAGCTCGACCTTACACAATGCAAACTGTTTCGCTCCGGAGCAATAAACGGAACAATAAACAAACCTAATGGAACTATCCCATAAAAACATTTCGGATAGCTTCAAAAAGAACTGAGCATTCGTTTCTACTAATTGTATTCGAGCAGTTACTAGGGCTTCAAAGTGACGATCATAGTGATTTTTTCCCAGATAGGAGAAATTTGTGGATGCCTATTTGCCCATTCCTAGGTCTTTCTAAAAAAGCCCTTCAATACACTTTCGAAATAAATATATTATAAAAATATGTGATTGTATAGATTTTATTTATTTATTTAGATTTTATTTATTTCTTTATTTAGATTTTATGAGAATTACATATTGAGTTTATCACCCCGCATCTGGCCAAGGGCGAACTTTTTTAGAAGACAAGGAAAATCACTTGGCAAACCAGAAGACTATGTTCACCAATGATTAGTTAGTTCAAGATGTTCCAGCTCTTACAGCTAGCTCTCTTGAGGAAAACCAACAAAGCAATTAGTTCACAGCAATGATGATCCCACTTCAGAAAGCACGAGAAAAACAAGTTTTCCCAGAAATTCGCTGACTGTAAAGTTAGATTTTTATTTGGGTTCAGATCCTATCCTCGTCTTTTTTGGAGATTTCATAGACGGACTAGTCTTTGCCGGAGCTCTTTTGCCGTTTTTGACATTTTTTTGTGAATTTTTCGTTCAACGATTATACATATGATATCTAAGGTATTAAAAGTTGCTGATCCAGAAAAAACGATCTAAGCCTCGGCTGTTTATAGTCCGCGTCTAACTCTAATGCCGCAAAGTCCATTCCTATGTTCACCAGCTTTTTCTCAAATTTCATGACGCCATGAATCTAACGAGGACACCGAGTTATGAATCCAACCGAAAACAACAGAATGGGACTGGTAAAAGAAATGACAAATCGCAATGGAGCATGTCACAATTCAGCTCCTTCGACATTTACAACTATTCAAATAGGATCGGTGTTTGCAGCGTCTCCTTAATTTAGGTTTTCTCAAATTCAGGTTATTCAACGGTAACAAACAGCAGGGTTCTATTTACGCTTTGCCCGTAGAATTATGCGATCACCTGAGAAGCCAACTGACCTGCATTTTCGAAAGTACTAAGAGCAGATTTATTCGTGATAATGCTCTCATTTTGTTAATGATTCGATTTTTCTTCCTACGCCATTCATCCGTGTCACGGAAATGCCGTTTCTTTGTCCTCCACGTGTTCAGATCCATGGCTTCCTTTGTCTAAACATAGGAATAATCTCTACGGGGTTTCTTACCGAGGGTATCAAATAAATAAATAAACATATGAATAAATACAATCGGAAGCATTCTAGAAAACTAAGAAAATGATCCAGATGTGAATGATCGTCTGGGTTTTGAAAACTCTTCGCAGTTTATATAAGTTCAAGAAGTAGGGCTTAATCGGTTCCCTTGGGCAAGCGAGTATGTAGTGCTTTTTGTTTTTTGTAGTGATTAATGTTTATACTTTGGGGGCAAAGGAGAAGTAGGGCCGTCAATTGACGCCTTCTTGACATTTATGATCTGAAGATCAAACTTCGGATCGATGCGCTCCCGGCCGGTCGAGCCCCCTACCTCCTCTGGTTGCTTAGTCGACTCTAATGCTGTTAAACTGATTCTTTCTCGTTGACGCAGACAGAATCACTTCCCATTATGGTCATTTCGTTTTATTTACGGTTTTATTTACAAAACGATGCTTAGAACAAGTCCAGCTATGTATATAGATAGAGATGGGATGCTTATTCGGACTGGTCTATTGTGAGAGGATGGGACCATCGCTAAGGTAGTGAACGAAGTCGTATAGGCGGGCATCTCAATCAAGGATTGATGAAAGACAAACTCCTCTAGTCCTTTACGTGGGACAGGGAAATAAAAAGTGTCGTATCGAATCCTTCCCGGAAATAGAAACATATTTAACTTCTATTCAGACTTTGGTTGTGATCCTATAGCAAAAATGAGTCGTCCTTGAATGGTCGATGGATTTTGAAGACATTTGGCATTTTTGGAGGCTTAAAGTAGTCGAGCAACATGCTCAACAGTCATAAAGCGAGATCGTTTTAAGGAGGTAACAAGGTGATAAAGTGGCCGGTTGTGATACTGAATGGTTAGCTTTTATATTCTATGATCCCAAATAAAAAATATATCAAAAACCAAAAATATTCAGAAAATCAAGAAATCGAACCAAAATTATTGAAGACATCAAAAATTTTGGAGGAGGGACGAGAGAGAAAGGAAGGATTCAACCTTCGATAGTTTGCAATCTAAGATTTCGAATACTCCTACTCACAAGAAAGCACCCGATCATTATCTTCTTTCAGGCTTATCGCAGTTAATGGATAGGGTAATTGACTGTAGAAGGAGTAAACAATGAAACATAACAACGGAGCCTAACATGAAGCCAGCAGCATATCCTGGCTGGCTTATCAGGTACAAGCCCCCACCCGTCAAATCCAATAACTATGAAAAGCGAATCATGAGATGGCGCAATCAAATAAATTTCAAGTGCTACAGATGTTTTCTTTGATGATCCTTTGACGTAATTGCCCCCATCGATTTCGGAGGTAATCCAGTAAACGCACGTATACTTCTTTTTGAGCTGATTTCTCGTCTACTGATAAAGTCGATCTCAAAGAGGTTCCCTAATCCTGGCGGACCGCTGTGGAGTCTAGGAGCAATAAATCAACTCAATCTAGGCAGTCACACTCTTTTTCGTCGTATGCTGCGATTTGAGATTGAATATGATCAGGATGATGCTGAAATATGGGCGGATCCGACTCAAACGGGATATTGTATCCACTGACTCCGGTAAAAATGGCGGTGCCCGAGACGGTGGTGGAGTTCGGATCCCATCCCCAATAGAATGTATTGTCCATAGATAAGCATTCTATCAAAATTCAAATTGCCTGTACACAATCCACTTATTCCATATGCTGTCGAGCAAATAAGGTTACAACAAAAAAAGAGGATGGACCTCAAAAACGAAATTGAGCGCCTCGTGTTCATGGGAGTTGACCCGAAGCGTCCATCCCCTTTTTTGTTGTAATCCTCTGAGCCCGAGGCGATTCAGTGATAGGAGCATACTTACGAGAAGTGCGTAGGTTTGATAGCTCCATTACACACCTTTGGACAGCAAAACGGCCACAAAGTGCAAATGTTCGACCCCTTTTTTCTTTCTCGGGGTACAGATACTCCAGCAGTTTTGCGGTAGGGCAATCACAAGTGCGCTTTTTACTTTTCTCCTCTTGGCGTGACTTTTGAAGTGTGGGTGGCTCACGGATTGTACGTGAAGGAGTGGAAGTGTTGTTAGATCTGCTGTTCCCCATTCGGTTTTTTTGAAAAATAAGCCATGGAACGGAAGCTTTAATCAAGTAGGCAGCGTAGCTAATCGCTGACAGACAGTTCATACTTTTGGTAGGCGGCAGAAAACGGCATGAAGTCCTATGGTAACCATCGAAAGTTCATGTTAGACTAGGACAAGGGATAACCTATTCCCTTCCCAAGATCTCACCATTTTTTTACATTAAAACGTAAACAAACATTTGTTCCCTAAACGGACCTCATTATTGCAGTAGACCTCGATTTTTCTAGCAAAAGACATAATGAGACTCACACTTATCGATAGCTTCCCGAGCCGATCGAATATTTTTATTTTTCGCGGCTGTGGATCGGTACCGTTCGTTTTTGAGTTTGAAGTGGTCTCACTTGACTGTATAGACGAGTTTCTGCTGAAACAAGCTCGTAACCCGTTATTCAGCGTGAGCTGATGTTTGTATGTGCATTAGCGGGCTTAAACCCTAACTAAAATCTGGGAGAATATTTGGTTCGTAATCTTTACTGTCTTTCCTATAACCACTATCAAGCTGATGATCCACTTTCAGTCATGATCTGGACTATATACTCAGGGAACCCACAAAAATATTCAGAAACTCCAAGAAGTCAGCGTAAATTCAACTCCTAACCGTATAATGAACAAACATCTAATAATACTTACTTTAAGAATTGCTGGGTCAATGACCCCATACGCAGCAACCCACTCTGAACCATGCGTTTGCGTTGGAGATACGATCCACTTAAATCTGAAAACTTTATAGTAGCTTTAGAATTCGGTGCTAGTTCGGGTAATTCCTTAATGCCACTACACCACCTCCACCATTGATCCCATACGCAATAGGGATTGATTAAGGCCACAAGTCTTCATCTTTTATTCTTTTGAGCCCCTACAGCTCTGTCTGGGCATCTCTCCACTAGGTTTTAAGCCATGCCAAGGGAGTGGCTTTCTTGGACTCCACACTTCGGCCATTTGATAGATGCTAATGTATGTTAACGCTAGTTAAGGCGCTTATGAAATAAGAACGACGGTCTACAGGATGCTAGGCGCCCTCGCTTGTGATATAGCCTGGTCTGAGATGAACGCTCGCGGCGTATAGGCGATCGCAACGATACGTTTGGAATGTGGAATATTTCGCATTTTGTTTTCCCGCCCGAAAACATTCGATTACTTTGCAGCGGCGATCTGTAACGCTCCTAATGAGCAATCTTCTACAACTCGCCACTCTTGATTACAGGGCCGTTGTCAACCGCTAATGAAGTGACTGGCTGCTTCCATAATCCGCGATTTGGCCCGCGAGCGAGTGAGCGGCGGGGGACTACTCGTCGAGAGATCGACCAAGATTCAGTTGTAAACAAGGGACAAGCGCCGCACCCGTCGCTCGCGCGCTCGCCGGCCAAATCGCGGACTGTGAAAGCAGCCACTTGCCTTTTTGTCGTTTTCTCTGCGTCTTCATTAGTAGGCATCTCACAATCGTGAGAATAGCGCGCGCGCAGAAATCAGAGCTTGCCATTTCTGGTTGCTTTCAGACTCCATCGGCAAGCATTGTTTCAAACGACCGACCGGCCGAGCGACGTGGGTCCTGACCATGTGTTGACGGTGCTAAGTGGATTGTGGAACCACGCGGCGCGGCACCCTGCGCTCTCCAGCGAGATAGTGGTGGGCCTGAGTCTGGGAAGGAATGGTAAGGTTGTACTGATGTGTTTCGTGATTCAGGACAATGCTAATATGCTTGCATATTATGGATACACTTCTTCTGTGTAGATAAAACCTATTTTTCAAGCAGGGGAGGGGCTCCGGGGGTGGGTGAGATGGTTGTCTCGTGCAAAAAGCTGAGATGAGATAAAAGTTGAACGTCCAAATGGCTCACCCACCCCGGAGCCCCCACCCCTTGCTAAAATTAGGTGAAAAATACACAGTTACAACATAAAAAACTATGAAACGTTCCTAAACACCGTTTCGGGCGACCTTCTCTACTATCACGCTGGAGAGCGCAGGGTGCCGCGCCGCGTGGTCCCCCCCCCCCCCCCCC